CCTCCAACCCCAAGGACTTCCCCAATGCCACAATGGATTCTTCAACTGGCATAGGATTCCCAGGGTTAGCCTCAAACCCTTCAAAATCCCTTTTGTCTACACATTCTGGCCACAGTTTTTTCCAAGCAGAGTTCAGGGTCCTCTTAGTCACTCCCTTCCAAGCCGTACCTATAAGGTTTATACAATTGAGGATATTAAAGTGATCCTTCCAAAACTCTTTTAGAGTCAGTTGAGTTTCTGTGGCCACTATAAAGCACTTTTGAAACATAGCTTTTGTGTACAGTTTCTTGAAGTTGGAAATGACTTGCTGGTCCATGGGCTGCAGGAGAGGAGTGGTATTAGGAGGCAAAAACTTGACCTTAATGAAGCTCATGTTCCCAGAGAGTCGCTCTGCCAAGTCTGTAGGATGACCAGGAGCATTGTCTAATACCAGGAGGCACTTAAGGTCTAATTTCTTTTCAATTAGGTAATTTTTCACAGTGGGGGCAAATGCATGGTGTAACCAGTCACAGAAAAAGTCCCTAGTGACCCATGCCTTACTGTTTGCCCTCCACATCACACACAAATTAGCCTTGAGGACATTGTTTTTCCTGAACACTCTGGGAGTTTCTGAGTGATACACCAATAAAGGCTTCACTTTGCAATCACCACTAGCATTGGCGCACATCAACAGAGTAAGCCTGTCTTTCATAGGCTTATGTCCTGGGAGTGCCTTTTCCTCCTGAGTAATGTAGGTCCTGCTTGGCATTTTCTTCCAAAACAGGCCTGTTTTGTCGCAATTAAACACTTGTTCAGGTTTAAATTCTTCACTGTCTATGTAATCCTTGAATTCCTTCACATATTTTTCAGCTGCTTTTTGGTCTGAACTGGTAGCCTCACCATGCCTAATCACACTATGTATGCCACTACGATTCTTAAATCTTTCAAACCAACCTTTGCTGGCCTTAAATTCACTCACATCAGCACTAGTTGCAGGCAATTTCTTTACCAAATCGTCATGCAACTGCCTAGCCTTTTCACAAATGATCGCTTGAGAGATGCTATCTCCTGCTATTTGTTTTTCATTTATCCACACCAATAACAGTCTCTGGACATCTTCTAACACTTGCTGTTGCTGTTTCGTAATCACAGTTGCACCTTTTGCAAGAACAGCTTCCTTGATTGTCGTTTTCCTGGTCACTATAGTAGAGATGGTTGATTGGGGTTTACTATACAACCTGGCCAGCTCTGACACATGCACTCCACTTTCGTACTTTGCAATTATCTCTTTCTTCATTTCAATAGTCGTTATCACTTTTTTTTCTCGAAGGGTTGGCACTAGAAGCTTTCTTGGGGCCCATGGTGACTTATTTTGCAGAAACAAGCACCAAAAACAGTGATAATATGGAATGTACTGAATGTATCCTTAGATGTGCGCACACTGCCTGGCTTGTAAACACTGGCATGTACGGGGCAGTTCAGGCCACACGTGGACACGTCTCGTACAAATCGCATTGAATACCGGGTTTTCGATCGGATACCGAGGCGAAATTTTTGCGTTAAAATGCATCGAATACTGGATTTATCGGATACAGATGCCATCGAATACCGGGGGTCCACTGTATTTCTAATACCTTCTGGTAGCAAGTTTAATAATCTTAGACCATGGATATTGGCTAGTTTTATCTTATTGTGCTCATGGTTTCTCTGCTTTTCACTGGATCTGTTTTGCACTTTCTCTTATATCTTCCACTAATTAGCTCTGGAAATCATTCGTTTCACTTCCAATTAGCACTGTATATACTTGAATGAGAATTTTTACCATCTCTATCATATTTTCACTTTTCTTAATCATCTCTGGATGCACCTAATAAACACAGGTCATGCTTGTTTTATGCTGTAAATGCATTTCAGGCCCATGGCAGCTGTACTAAGATCATTTAGGCATTAAATACTTGGTTTTGCATAATAAAAACTTTCATTATGCATTGCAAACCATACCAATTGCAAACCATACCAATTGCAAACAGTGAATGTACAGCATATTGCATGTACAGAATGAGTGATAGAAATAGGACATCGAATAATAGCAAATGTGCATAAAATGAGAGAAACTTACAGTACCAGTTTTAGCTTATTATCTCTTCCTCTGGTTTTTCCTTTATTATATGGTGAAACAGGAATCAGATCTACTGGATGCAGAATGAGCAAGCTATTCTTATGCCATGGGTATTAAAGTAATGGTGATACAAAAAAAAAAGAAGAGGAAACACTTTCACCATCACTCTTTCAGTCACTGCCTTGCCAGAAGCATGCTGACATCACATTTCAGATAACCTTTTGAACTGCAACATTAGATGGGTGGGGATATTGCATCCCATATGATTATTATTACTTCAAAATGTAATTATTAATGTTTGATCTGAGAAAGGAGAGAAATAGTTCTAATTCCTTGAAAGAAAAGCCCTTTATCAGCATCAAGGAACCCTATTTAATCCTTTGGGGGTCGCCAGGCCCTCTCAGAGACTTGTTCTCAGGGTCGCCAAAATTTCAAAAAAAAAAAAAAAAAAATTCTTATGAAAAGATAGAGAATCTTTTCCCGATCATAATGACACCAAAAGTATGAAATTTGATGGAAAACTTACGGAATTATGTTCTCATGAAGTTAGCGGTCTCGACGATGTTTGTGCATCGGTGATTTTGCCCACTTTCAGCCCTATTTTCGGCCAATTCCAGTGTACTAGTCGACAGAAATCATAATTATTTCGCTAGAACTCCATTTTTTCTATCAAATAAGTACAAGAAACCACCCATTTACCGATTTCAACTATCCAATGAAGTGGTCAGAATTTAGCAATTTTGCCAATTTCACACAAATTTCAAAAGATGCCAGTTTCCGAATAGGGTCCAGAATAAACAAGAAAGACATTCCTGGCACTAAAATAACAAGTTCTCTGTTCATTAGTCACATCCCCAGGCTCCTCTTATATTTCTTTGGCTTTCCACTTTGAATTTTTATTCTTACAAAAAATAGAAGATTTACTGTTATGCAGACTACTGCATTAGTGTAGAAATGGTATAAATAATATCAGCGCACTTGTGAAAGAATATTAGACTCACCAGTTGATGTGTATTGGACGCTTGGCATGATTTGTTTACTTTTGAACTTTGGTAAAAATCGAACATTTCTGCTACTTTGAGCTCAATTTCAAGGTACTTTTCATTGTAAAACCAGTCAAAATCATCTCAGTTTCTGTAATATGTCTTCCATTCTATAAAATGAGACCAAGAAAACTAGAATACAACAATAAATACCATACGAAAATACAGTGCAAAGTCGCTGTTTTAATCCAAAAACACGGTCAAAGTTTTTTTTTTTTCTCATTACACACTGTGTGCTGCAGGATTTTTTTTATACTGCGCACACTGACCACATAGACCCATTCTTTCATATGTAGGCCTACCAGCTTTGTCTCACTAGATTTGAGGGCGCTAGAATTTAGGCGCACTAGTACGTCAAAAACCCTGGGGCGTAAGCCGTACTAGTACGGCCGAAATCCCCAAAGGGTTAATGGAAAATAAACACAAAAAATACACTACCTGGTCTCATTCAAAATAACAGTGTAAATACAGTATGTGCTGAGACGAACCCATCATATGCACCTTCCTAGTGCACCAGCCTGACTGCTACTTGGAAGTGCCCTTTCAGTAAGCACTTACCAGACAGGTGAGCCATTAAGACCTTTGTTATTAAGTAGATGATTTTGTGAGACTTTTACCTAATGTATCATGTCGATAAACTTCTAAATTACTGTACCAGTAATTGAGCTGTACAGTGAGATATTTAACCCTTTGACTGTTTTGGTCGTATACGTATATACGTCTTACGAGCCAGTGTTTCGGACATATTAATACGCATAAATTCTAGCGGCTTCAAATCAAGCAGGAGAAAGCTGGTTGGCCCACATGTGTGAGAATGGGTCTGTATGGTCAGTGTGCACCACATAAAAAAAATCCTGCAGCACGCAGTGCATAATGAGAAAAAAAAAACTGACCGTTTTGGATTAAAACGCAGAATCTGAGATGTACTTTCATATAGTATTTATCATTGTATTCTCGTTTTCATGGTCTCACATGATAAAATGGAAAACATATTACAGAAATAGAAATGATTTTGATTAGTTTCATGATGAAAGCGAAATGTTAGATTTTTACCAATGTTCAGGAGCAAGCAAATCACACCACATGTCCAATACACGTCACCTGGGGAGTCTGATATTCTTTCACTAGTGCACTGATATTAGTTATACCATTTTTACAATAATGCAGTAGTCTGCATAACAGTAAATTTTTTATTTTTTGTATGAATAAAAAATCAAAATAGAAAGCAATAGTAATATAAGAGGGGCCTAGAGACATGACTAATGAACAGAGGATATGTTATTTTAATGCCAAGAATGTCTACATTGTTTATTATGGACCCTATTTTGAAATTGGCATCTTTTTTTAATTTGCTTGAAATTGGCCAAATTGCCAATTTCTGACCACTTTATTGGGTAGTTCAAATTGGTAAATGGGCAGTTTCTTGTACTCAACTGATAGAAAAAATGGAATTCTAAAGAAATAGCTGAGTTTGGTCAACTGGAACAACGGAATTGGCCAAAATCAGGGCTCAAAGTCGGCGAAATCACCGATGCATATATGTTGCCGAGACCACTAACTTCGCAGGAGCGTAATTCCTTGAGTTTTCGACCAAATTTCGTACTTTTGGTGTCATTATCATTGGGAAAAGATTTTCCATCATTTGATAAGGAAAAATAATTTTTTTTTTTCCAAAAATTTTGCGACATAGAATGTCAGTTTCAGAAAGAGGCTTGCGACAGGCAAAGGGTTAATATTAGGTATAATTTTTATGTACTACTTGATACAGTATTTGTTCTTATTATTGGTATGCATTAATATTACTATTTGAATACAGACTTATTTAGACTTAAAATCTTAAGCAATGATTTTTTTTTCAGATTTGCTGAGCTGGAGGACTTAGAGTATCAACAAGTGAGGTTGACTGGTAATTTTGACCATAGCAAGGAGATCTTCCTTGGTCCCCGTCCTCTCTTGGTAAATGCAGACTTACTCTACAGTGTTTTGATGTGGTCCACCTATAGTGCAAATGTGGAAATCTATAGCCTTGGAGAAGTAAATAAAATTGCTTTGAGGAAAAATATTGAGATTTCAGCTTGAGGCTGTTTGAATGTTCTTCTCACATGATCTTTTATACATACACACACAAATACTTTATTATATAATAGGGTACATTAGGTTTAAAGGGGTTCATTACATGTACAAAAATATGTTTGACTTATGATATAGAAGGTTTAAGGAATACGTTACAAGTACACAGACATGGTTGCCAGCAATTACATTTCAAATACAGTTTCTCCTCATTTAACCCGTTGACTGTCGCAACCCCCAATCCTGAGGTGTCTCCTGGTGTCGCAAATTTTAAAAAAAAAAAATAATTTTTTCTTATGAAATGATAGAGAATCTTTTTCCAATTGTAATGACACCAAAAAAACGAAATTTGATGGAAAACTGACGGAATTATGCTCTTGCGAAGTTAGCGAACTCGGCGCTGTTTACAAATCGGCTATTTCGCCCACTTTGAGCCCTTTTTTCGGCTAATTCCATTGTTTCAGTCGCCCAAACTCATAGCTATTTCTTTAGAACTCCATTTTTTCTATCGATTGAGTACAAGAAACTGCCCATTTACCGATTTCAACTACCTAATAATGTGGTCAGAAATTTGCAATTTGCCAATTTCACGAAAACTAAAAAATATGACAATTTCAAAATAAGGTCCAGAATGAACAATGCAGACATTCCTGGCTCTAAAATAACATTTTCTTTGCTCATCAGTCATATCTCCAGGCCCCTCTGATATTACTCTGCTTTCTATTTTGAATTTTATTCAAACAAAAAATAGAAGACTTACTATTATGCAGACTACTGCATAGTGTAATAATTGTATAAATAGACATCAACCCATTCATGACTGCATATTAGAATGGCTAGTTGTACATTTATTGGACAATGGCATCATTTGTTTACTTTTGAACATTGGCAAAAATCAAACATTCCCCTACTTTGAGCTCCATTTCTAGGTCTTTTTATAGTAAAACAATCAAAATCACCTCTATTTCTATAATATGTTTTCCATTCTATCAAATGAGACCAAGAAAACGAGAATACAACCATAAATACTATACGAAAATAGACCACAAAGTCGGCATTTTAATTAAAAAAAACGGTCGGAGTTTTTTTTTTCTCATTATGCACTGCGTGCTCCAGGATTTTTTTCATATGGTGCACACTGACCACACAGACCCATTCTCTCACATGTGGGCCTACCAGCTTTCTCCTGCTTGATCTGAAGCCGCTAGAGTTTATGAGTATATATACGTCAAACACGGTACCGCGACAGTCAAAGGGTTAACGACGTACTCATTTACCAACGACTCAGACTTAAGATGCTCTCTCCGACCAGTATGCATACCTAAATAATGTATATTAGAGCTGATTTCTCTTATTCTGTTTGTTACAATATACAGCACACTACTGTATGAATATTTAAAAATATACTAAAAATGTTATTAATGGTGTAAAGGTGACATTAAAACAATATCAAAGATAGTTGTCACAAACCCACTACCAGTATGTAGTATGCTCCTTGCTTAGCGACGAATTTGTTTACTGATGTGGTCTTAGGAACAGAACTCTGTCGTTAAGTGAGAAGAGGCTGTACTTCATCCAGCTCTTCAGAACTTGGGAACGGACCTCAGGTACAACAGGCATTAACCCTTTGAATTACAACACTGAGACACTGGAAGAGAAAACTAGTTGCTCCTGGATCCTTAGTTTCCATAATGAGTCTTTTGCCAAACTCTTTTCAGGAAATTGGATGTACTCTTACTTTATGAGCTAAGGTTCTGTAATGTATTACATGTAGAGATTCTCTGGATTTAGTTGTAATACATGATTAGGTATAATTGGTGATGGTAAGGCCATTTTAAGTGCACATGAAACTTAAGGAAACTAAGCTTAGTTGGACCCTTCTATTGATTTTTTCTATACAGGAAGACCCTGCTTTACAGTGTTTTGCTAATGCAGCACTTGGTTTTCAGTTATATCTGTTCTTCAGTTATTCAGACTTCCTACAATAAATATTTTCATCACTTACTATATGCTAAGGATGAAAATATTTTAAGGTAAGGAATGTGTATACTCTAGGATTTTTAGTTCTGTTGCTCACTTTTATATGATAATGTAAACATGTTTTTTCTTATTCTTTTTTAACACGTTGGCCATTTCCCAATGAGGCAGGGTGACCCAAAAAGAAACAAAAAAAAAACTTTCATCATCGTTCAACATTTTCACCATCATTCATACATAATCACTGTCTTTGCAGAGGCGCTCAGATACATATGACAGTTTAGATGTCACTCCAAATAGCCAATATCCCAAACCACTCCTTTAAAATGCAGGCATTGTACTTCCCACCTCCCGGACTAAAGTCTTGGCTAACCGGTTTTCCCGAACCCCTTAAAAATATTACCCTGCTAAACACTCCAACAGCTTGCGGGTCCCAAAATCTTTGTCTCCACTCTTATCAACCGCTCACGCACACTTGCGGGAAATCCAAGCCCCCGGGCCCACAAAACCTCCTTTACCCCCCCCCCCCAAACCCTTTTCTGGATGACCTAACCACCTTCCTTCCACTACTATGTAAACATTTTATCGGGGGGTTTTAAAATTATTTAAAAAAAAAAAATGGCTGTTTCACTTTACAGCTATTTTGCTTTCAGCATAGCCCAGCCTATCCCTTGTATAGTGGGGTCCTTCTGATGACGGCTGCCCCATAAAATTCTTCTACATTATAATGTGGTGTGGTTGTTTCTAACATAACTTGCCCTGAAGGAATTAAAAGTGATGTTTAGCTTTATCTCTAATCATACATAAATACAAACAGCGAATATGTATATATTGGAACCAAAGGGAATCTATTACAATTTACACATTTTAACTCTTGATTATCTCAAGTTTATTTTGAACAAACACACTCCTAAAAACAAGGACCTCCATCATTATGGACCCTTCCCATAACCCCTTCTTTCTGTGAGTAAAGTATATGGGGAAGTATTAGCTTTCAGGGGTGGTTGAAAAAGGCATGCTACTTCATTGTTGCAAGACTTAAAATTGATGAATGTTTCCATCGGACGGCAGCACTACAGACTTTGAAAAATGCATAATTAATGCAAAAAATTTTTTGAAGCTAACTTGCGATGTTATCAACTTTTTTTATATACAACATTCACATATAAGGCACCAGGCTATTACTGTACACTTTTTTTTTTCTTTTTAAAAAGTCGGCCGCTCCCACCGAGGCAGGGGACCCAAAAAAAAAAGAAAATCCCCCAAAAAAAAAAAATACTTTCATCATCATTTAAAACCCTTTTACCTCACTCACACATAACCGTTTTTTTCAGAGGTGCTCAGAATACAACATTTGAAAATATACATATAAAGAACACAACATATCCCCCCCAAACTGCCAAAATCCCAAACCCCTCCTTTTAAAAAGCAAGCATTTTCTTTCCCCTTTTCCCGGACTCAAGCCGCTATTAAAAATAACTGGTTTCCGAATTTTTTTTTTTTTTTTTTTTTTTTTTTTTAAACCCCAAGTCCCATCCCCACCCAGGGAGGTGACCCAAAAAAAAAAGAAAATCCCCAAAAAAAAAATACTTTCATCATCATTCAACACTTTCACCACACTCGCACATTTCACTGTTTTTGCAGAGGGCCAGAAAACAACAGTCTAGAAGCATACACATATAAGATACCAACTATCCCCCCAAATGCCAAAACCCAAACCCCTCCTTTTAAAAGGGAGGCTTGTACTCCCCTTTCCAGGGACCAAGTCCGACAATAAAAAAACCGGTTTCCCGAATCCCTTTACAAATATTACCCTGCTCACACTCCAAAAGTCGTCAGGGCCCAAGTACCATTCGCTCCATTCACTCCTACAAACACGCTCACACACCTTGCGGAAGTCCAAGCCCCTTACCACAAAACCTCCTTTACCCCCCCCTCTCCAACCCCTTTTGGGACGCCCCCACCCGCCTTTTTCCCCCTTTGATTTATATCTTTCAGTCATTCTACTTTATCCATTTTTCTCTAAATGACCAAAACCCCCTCAACAAACCCCCCTTTTTTTTTTGCCCTCTGACTAAAAATTTTATTAAATCCACACCTTCTCCTAATTTCCACACTCCGATTTTTGCATAATATTTAAAACCCCACATGCCCTTTCCTCCCACTCCCAACCGCTCCTCCGCGCATTTACCCCCAGGGGTTCACACCCTAAAGATGTTGGTACTAAAATACTTTCATACTTCCCTTCTTGCCTCCAAGTTAAAGTTTTTTTTACCCACATATACCCAACCACCACTCACCTTTTTTTCCCTCACAATTCTATATTAACCTCATCCTTTAAAATCCTCCGCCGACACGTCAACTCCCAAGTACAAAAACATTCCTCTTCCAACTCCTCCCCCCCAATTTTGATACCAATTTTTTCTTTATCTAAATCTTTTAAACCCCACCCCCTTCCCCTCCTTTTCTATGTTCCCCTTTAAATTTTCTCCCTTTCACACATTCCCAAACTCATCCACTAACCTTTGAAATTTTTTTTCTTTAAAATCCCCCATAAGCACAGTATCACAGCAAAAAGTAACTGTGTCAATTTTCCCATTTTGAATTTAAATTCCCCAAAATTTTTAACCCCACCCCCCTCCCAAACACCCTAGCATTTACTTCCTTAACAACCCCATCTATAAAAATTAAACAACCATGGTGACATTTCACCCCTGTCTAAGACTACTTTTTCCGGGAAAAAGTCTCCCTTCTTTTACACACCCAACCCCCACCTCACTATCTTCATAAAAACTCTTTACGCATTTAAAAAACACCACCTATTCCCTATACTTTTCAAACTGCCACATTTTTCCCCCTACCACCATCATATCCTTTCTAAATCCATAAATCAATAAAAACTTCCCTAC